TCCAGCCACTACAGCCCATGTGCCCTGGCCCCCCAGGCCCTGGATCTTCCGCTCCGGAAACGCCCCGCACCACCCGAGTGAAGTTCCTCTTTCCCGGGGTTTTCCAGGTGTGGCTCCCATTCTCTAACCAATGACATTGACACCCAGGCACGAAGGGCCAGCTCATGTCCCCCTCTGAGTGCTATTTGTCTTTAATGGGTGACGTGCATCTCTTCAGGGTCACCTGGAGGCTCATGCCCCGTCTGCCCCAGGGGAGAAGACTCTGTGGCCCCTGACCTTTCCCTCAGCCCCCTGCCAGCAGCTCAGCCTGCCAGGATCACTGCGAGAGGCCCAGCGGGTAGGGGAGGCCCCGGGGCCTGCGTCTTCATCCTTTCTCCTCCCCACACAGCCTGGGCATCTGTCAGACATGACCCACGGGGAGCTGCAGCCTGGACCTGGTGGGTCCATGTGTCCCCTTCCTGTGGGGTCTGACAGGGGTCTCTGACCCTCATCCACCCCCTCCTCACCCTACACATTGGATTTCTGTGGAAAGGAATCGTCAGATCCGTCCTTTCTTCTCCGTAAACCATTTAGCCCAGAAAGAATGCAAGTTAAATGCTCACGGCCTTGTGAGGTCACGGGAGCTGCAGAGACATGGCCTGTCTCACCCCAGGACGCCCCCGAATCACAGGAGGTGGCTCTGAAGACTACTCGAATCTGCCTGATTTCTCGGTGTCCTCTGCATCGCATGGTGGTATTGAAGCCCAAATCCAGAGGCTCAACGCTGAGTAAACAGCCCGACAGGGACAGAGTGGAGCAAAGCCCTGACCAGGCCAGCCTCCTCGTCAGTGACACTGAGGTTCACTGTGGTGATTCGCCAGAGGTGGAAGGACATCTGTCAGCCGTAAAGCTCTGTCTTCCACACGGAAACCTCCTGCCGTAAAACGACTTACCAGAGGTCAACCCAAAGCACTTCTGCAGCCTTCAGATGATGACTGGGAAATAAATTGTTTTTATTACCTCCTCAGAGACCCCGAAATAAAAGATAGGCAATCTGTGCTGTTAATGTAATGACTTCCCCGAGGAAACTATGAAGGTGCAGTCCCGCTCTGCGATTGACAGCAAAGCCCGCTGCAGCACCCTGTCCAGCAGAGGAAGCACTCTCTCCACAGGGGTTTGGGGAGGCCTTGGGTGCAAACTCAACCTCTCTCGGATGTGCCGTGGGTTTTCCCCGACTAGCAGGCTCAGGACTCGTATTTTTCCTGGTCAGATGAAGCTCTGCATGTGTGTAAGATGCCCCGTGTTTTAATGCATGTCCTGATTGTGTCAATGCCAACTCATGGGTGCATTCATGAGTCGTCTCAGGCCGGTCCCCTGGTCACTGCCTGCCCTGTGCCTTGTGGCTCACGTGCGCGTCACGGATGGCACATTCCTCGACACCCCAAACTCCTTGCTGCACTGCCGTGCTGTCCATCTGCAGCTCCCGTGCTCGCCCTGGTGACGGTTGGCATGAGCAGAGTCCACAGTGTCTGGAGGGCTCGTCTGCATCTGAGATTCACGCTGCGTTGCTGTGATTCCCAGTGAAGGGACAGCCCCGACCCCAGCTGTCCTGTGACCCCATCGTGGTGAGGGGCTGGTACAGTGATGTAGGGGGTGTCTGCTCTGAGCTTGCACCCACCCTGACCCCTCCTGGCTCCTGCCCTGGGGCTGATCCAGGCTCCCCAGGGCAGATGCAGCTGTGACTGGACTGCCTCATAAGCGTCTCACAATGTGCTGCCCTCGCAGACCCCCACACAGGCCCCTCAGACCCACTCCCACCCTGTCAGGGAACTGTGGGTCTCCTCGAGCCAGGACGCCGTGGTCTGGGACTCAGTGCAGAGTGTGCCATGTGGGGCCCAGCCCTTGTCATGAGCCGGCTGGACCTCCTACATGGCTGAAGCCCCTGGCACGCCCAAGGTGGGGGCATCTGGGCTGCCACCAGCTAGATCTACTCTCGCAGGTTTTGGGTCTCTCTCTAGTCAACCTGTCTGCCTCCCGAGTGTCAGGAAGGCCGTGAGAAGACATACTGACCAGAACAACCTTACACACATGCTTGAGACTGGATGATTCTCTATACCCCTGGTTCCTTATGAGGGATGGGGGGTGGACAGAAGAGCTCATGAAACCCAGCAGCCACCCCAGGGCTGGAGCACAGGCCACAGCCCCCCAGCAGCTATGAGCTCTGTCTCCTGCCAACAGCAGCAGTGTCCTTGTGGGTAAAGGAGATGCTTCCGTTTACCAAGGCTATGATCATCCGAGGTGTGGAGCCTCCCAGCCACCCCAATATCATTTCGCTTTAGGATGTGAGGCGACACTTAAAAGCCCTGTTCTCTCTGCATGAGGAACCCCAGCCGTGCGCCCCATTCTTTCTGCATGAGGAACCCCAGCCGTGCACCCCGTTCTCTCTGCGTGAGGAACCCTAGCCGTGCTCCTGGGCGGGAAGGAAGAAGGAAGATGCAAATCAGTGGGAAACTAGCTTTGGCACCTCCGGAGCATCAACTGTTTCACAGCCTAGCTGACCAGCCACGGAAATGATCAGCCATGGAAACAACCAGCCACGGAAATGACCAGTCACGGAAATGATCAGCCACGGAAACGACCAGCCACGGAAATGACCAGCCACGGAAACGGCTGCCTGGAGAGGCCGTGATCAGTCCATCCCTGCAGGGGGAAGATGAGCTTGTGCAGGCCACTGGCTAACACAGTTCATCCCATGCCTCCCACATACCAAGCACTGTGCCAGGTGCTTTTCACTTCTGGGGTGCCTGAGCCTCAGCACTTGGGGGAGATTCACACCATCCCTGCTCATTTCATAAGGAATAAACTCAACATAGTTACCGTATCAGTTCCCAGATTGGTGCTGGAGAAAAATATCAACTCTGCCTCTAGGGAGATGCCGATGAAAGCTCTCAGACCAGGGTAGCCAGTGCGGGACCCAGAGTGAGCTTGAAGTCGTTCGGAGGAGCTGGGCAGTCCCAGGCCTGGGACGGGAGGAGGGAGGCCAGTCTGGGGAGTTTTTCTGCAATGTAGACAAGATTTTAACTTTCTACACTTTCCCACTTTCCCTCCTCCAAATTGGAAGTCCATCCATGGGAGGCTGAGGCGGGAGGATTGCTTGAGCCCAGGAAGTTGAGGTTACAGCAAGCCGTGATTGCACTGCTGCTCTCCAGCCTGGGCGACAGAGCAAGGACCCCCTCCCCCAGCCCCACTGCTGAAGTCTCCCCAAAACAAAATTAACTAAATGCTACAAACAGTGGGTTAATCAGAAATTAGCTCCTGGGATGGGTCTAGATGTCGACCCTTGTGTATTAGCAACCATGACCCTTTACAACGGATTCTCTTTCAAAAACTGCTTCATCTATTTTCAATAGCAAAGCTATGGGAATGACAACTGTCTGGCAGCCAGATTTTATTTTCCCTTTTCCTCAAATGCTCAATGTCCTATGACAGCGGATAGGAGCGAGTTTCTGCCACTGTCAGTGAGCACTGCACAGAGTGAGCACTGCACAGAGTGAGCACTGCACAGAGTGGTGCTGCAGCCAGGAGAGGGCAGTGGTGGCCTGGGGCTGGGTCCTGGAAAGGATCTGCCGCCCAGAGGAAACTGGAGCCCTGTCTAAGAGGACTTGAATGGAGGTGGGAATGTGCTATTGGAGGTGGGAAGTTTACCAGAACCAGTCACCTGTGGTGGCAGAGAACCCGAGTGCACAGGACAGGACCCAGCCCTTCCCCAGTGGGGTCTTCATCCCCCTGGAGGGTCCCCAGGGAAGACAGTGGGAGGTGGGCTCACAGTTCTGGAGTCCACAGGAGCCCACCTGACGCTCATGGGGTTGGGGCCAGGAGTCACTAAAACACTTAAGGGTCAGCTGGTATCTCTCTTTAGAGCAGCTTGTTATCAAGAGACAGCAAAACACCTTCAGAACCTCCTATTCCATCTCTAGGAGTCCGTGCCCGCCCGATGTTCTCATTCTCCAGCAGCAAGGCCAGCCAAGCCCCCTTTCCTCCTCCTCCTCAAGCCCCTCTTCTTGCACACTTCTCAGGCCTTTCCCAAGCTGCCTGGGGTTTTGTCCTCAGGATGGAGCTGGAAAGGGGAGAGAGGCAGCGTGCTGGGCCCGGTGAGCACCCTCTCCTTTGTAAATGAAGATGCCTCTGTGACGTCCGTGGGGCGACATGGGCAGCCTCAGCCCCATCCATGGGTCCAGCCCCTCAGTCTGGAGTGGCATCCTGAGGGCACTTTCCTCCTTCTGTACCCCGTGACAGCTTCCAACTTTGCCATCTGCCCGAGCCTGGTCCCTTCAGCCCCCGCCTCACATGTGCAGGGCTGACATCCACCCTGCTGGGCCCTTCTCCCTGTCCAGGTGGAGGCCGGTGGCCCTGCAGGGTGAGACATGCCCAGCATCTTCCCAGTTCACCTTTCAGCCATGCAGGCTCCTCGTGGTTCCTTGGTGTCTGCATCGCCTCGCCTCCCAGTGGGTCGCCTCCGACCCTCCTCTCCCTCTGCCTCTGTGAGGCCATCTTCGCTCGCCCCGGAAGTCCACCTGGCTGCCCTGTGGCCCTCCCACCTGCCCGTCCTGCCACCTCTGCTGGTCTCTGAGCCCCACACCCACACAGCTTGGCCTTCATCAAACTGTGGGACCCATATCCAAGTCTCCCTCCCATGGTCCTATGAACTGATAAATAGGAGGCTGGAGACAGACAGAGGAGTAGGGGGAGGGCTGTGTTCGCCAGGCTGGAGAGTGATGGTGGCCCGTGTTCACCAGGAGAGGAGACGTGGGAGTGGGGTGGGGGAAAGTGTTCACTGGGAGAGGAGACGCAGGAGTGGGGTGGGGAAAGTGTTCACTGGGAGAGGAGACGCGGGAGTGGGGTGGGGAAAGTGTCTACTGGGAGAGGAGACGCGGCGGGGTGGGAAAGTGTTCACTGGGAGAGGAGACGCGGGAGTGGGGTGGGGAAAGTGTTCACTGGGAGAAGAGATGCGGGAGTGGGGTGGGCCTGTGATCATCAGGAAATGGGAGCAGGAGTTGGGGGGATGGGGGCTGTGTTCACCAGGAAAGATCCCATGTTTGATCTGCCTGCTTCTCCCTTCCATCCTGGCTGCCTTCACTGCCCTATAACAGGTGACAAGAGCAGAAGGTAAACAAGGATAAGAGGGAAAGCTGGTCATGGTGGAGATGGAGGCCCCAGGAGCAGGAGGACCACAGAGGAGCCCAGTGGACCTGTTAGGAACACCAAGGGTCCTTGTCCCTCTAGGCAGCCAAGAGGAACATCTGGGATAGGGGCTGGGGTAGAGAAGCAGCTGCCAGAGAGGAACATCAGAGGGAGAAAGGAGCGGCTGGAGGGGAGGAACAACTGGAGGAGACGAGTAGCTTGTGGGGGTGGGGGAGCCTCTGAGAGAGAGGAACAGCTGGGGAAGGTGCCTGGCAGCACAGAAGGAAATTGTGAGGATCCCACTAGCCTTGTCCAATCACCCCTTCTTAGACAGTGAGCAGCTTCCCTGGGATTGAACCTGGAGGACTTGCCGTGACCAGTGGAGATCACTGGTTGCCTACACCAGGTCCCTGGTGCCTGGCCATGGATCAGTACCTGTCCATGGCCTGTTTGAAGCTGGGCCACACAGCAGGAGGCAAGTAGCGGGCGAGGGAGTGAAGCTTCCTGTGTATTTATAGCCACTCCCCTTGATGGGACACAGAGCCAGACCCTATCTCCAAAAACAGAAAGAAAATCTGTCTCCATTAAACAGTAGCTCCCATTCCCTCTCCTGGCAGCCCCTGGCAGCCACCATTCTTCTTTGTTCCCGGGTTTGCCGACTATAGATCCTGAATATATATGTGAAATCATGCGGGGTTTGTCCTTCTGTGACCGGCTTATTTCACCCAGCCTAATGTCTTCGGGGATCCTGCTGTCGTAGCGTGTGTCCGAATGTCCCTCCTGGTTACAACTGGATCATATTCTATTACGTGAATATTCCGTGTTTTGTGTAGCCACTCATCCGTTGATGGACGCCAGTTACCTCCACTGTGCGGCTACCTGGATTGTGCTGCAGTGAGCTGGGCATGCGCTTCTGTTCCAGTTCCTGCTTTCAGTACTGCTGGACGTTTCCTGGGTGCAGCTTTCAGGTCTCTGGAGGAGCCCGGTCACGGGGTCCCTCTGCTGTTGGAGAACTCATGGTTTATACTCACTGTTGCTGCAGTGTGGCCTCACAGCCATGTACAGAATTCTGAGTTCGAAGCTGGGTGCCCACTCCCTCACTCTCTGATTCTGAAGGGGGAAGAGAATTCGCCTGTGCTGAGTGTTCATCCCACGCTAGGTGCAGGGATGTGCTCTTAGATGTGGGGTCGCTGTTTGGGGGCACCATATGGCGGGCCGATGGGCTCTGCTGTCTGGGGCTGGTTCCCTGGCCTGCGTAGTGCAGGTGGCATCCTCAGCGCTGGGATGAGGGCAGGTAGGGGGTCCGTGTGCCCCCCTCGCACACGAGCCCCCGAGCTCCAGGCCGAGGCTCCGGAGGGGCTGCTCACCCGGTGTGCTTTCCCTCCAGGTGAATGAGAAGATGTAGCACAGCGGCAGCCCGGGTGACACCTGCTGGGAGCTTGGCGTGGACACCCCAGCCACCCCCAGCCCAGCCCAGCCAGAGCACCCTGCCCCTGGGCATCCCCCCGGCCATCCAGCCTCACCATGTCCAAGAGAGGCACGGGCAGCCGGGCCAAGGGGGACAAGGCGGAGGCCCTCGCGGCGCTGCAGGCGGCCAACGAGGAGCTTCGAGCCAAGCTCACAGACATCCAGATCGAGCTGCAGCAGGAGAAGAGCAAGGTGGGCTCTCCCCAGACCCCCCCTTGAATGCCCCTCCCTCCCGCCTCCCCCGGGCCCCAGAGGCTCTTCCTAGAGTGGGTTTGGCCAGGTCCCTGTGGAAACCCCCACCCGGTCCTAGAGGCTGCCTGGGACAGACCATGTGGTTGGGGGTGGGGGCGGCAGACAGTGGGAGACCTGATGAGGGCGCTGTAGGCAGAGGTGCTATGGTGGTTGCCGCAAACCATGGTGAGCTCACAGAAAATATCCTGTGCTGTGCGGGGACAGCCCTCCCATCGGGGGCCGCAGGGCCTTGAGGGTCTGTGCCTAGTGGGGCCGTCCCTGGAAAGGACGCTGACTTTCCCACTGCAGCATCCATGGTGGAACTGACCTGAAACAGAGTGGGCAGGTATGGCTCTCGCATGGGAATAAAGGAAAAAGACGGGCTGTCGGTTTAGAGCTTCCAGGTTCAGAGGAACAGCGCCTGTTACCAAACGCGGTGATGCAGGGCAAGCCCAGGGGGATAGGGAGGCCCACGATGGCCTCTGGCTGGATGCCCAGCACTTTGGGGCTCTTGAAGCCTCGGGAAAGATTGGCCTGTGCTGAGCTGGGCTGGCAGCCAAGGTGGGGGGAGTCTGGAGCGGGAGGTAGGGGCTGACCAGAGGACAGGCCAAGCCCTAGGGTGGGCCACCCTTGCCTGAACCTCTTTCCACCTCCAGCATGACCTTTGCCCTCTCCTTTCCATCTCCTGGTCCCCAGGAGCCATTAAGAAGTGTGCCTGGGCTCCTGGAAGGAGAAGGCAAAGGAGAGAGCATCTGGAGAGAAGGCAGCACCAGGAAGGGGCTGGGCACGAAGGCAGGTGCCTGCCGCGGGCTTGGAAGGGCCTGGGTCACTCGTGGATGGTGTCCCTGCTCTGGGCCCTAGTTCTCTCCCTCCCCGCTTCTTCCCCAGTGAAGGCATCTCTCTCGGGGGCTGCGTGGTCTGCTGGTGGAGGGGAATCGGGTTATGTGGGGCTGGTTGCTTAACCTCTGACTTATTCAACCTCCCGTGATTTCACCTCCTTGTTATATCAGAAGAAGAAGAATGTTTCGTGATATGTGATAATCATGTGTAGTTCAGATTTTGGTGCCCACACCACTAGGAAAGTTGTATTAGAACGTGAGTCATCCCAGCACATTAGGAGGCCAAGGCGGGAGGATCGCTTGAGCCCAGGAGTGCGAGACCAGCCTGGGCAACATAGGGAGACCTCATATCTGCAAAAAAAAAAGTGGACAAACTAGCCGGGTGCAGTGGTGTGCTCCTGTGGGCTCAGCTACTCAGGAGGCTGAGGCGAGACGATTACTTGAGTCTGGGAGGTCGAGGCTACAGTAAGCTGTGATTGTGCCACTGTACTCTAGCCTGGGTGACAGAGCGAGACCCTGTCTCTAAAGAAATAAAAATGATTAAAAAAAAAAAAAAGACCCACAGCTGCACCTGCTCATTTGCATATTATCCTCAGAGTTGACCCACAAAACCTAAAATATTTACCATCTGGCCCCGCCCCCTGTTCCTCCCCCTCCTGCCGTGAGTTCCCTCCTCTGTAGGATGGGGATGAACACAGCGCCCACTGCCTGTGGCCTGGAGGAGGGAGTGCTGCTGAGGCTCCTGGTCACAGCTGGGGGAGAGTCTCGCTTCTAGGATACCAGAAGGCCGATGGCATGGGGACATGGTCAGTAAATGTGCGTCCAGCACCTGATCTGTGCCAGGTGCCCATAAATCGCAAACAGCAATGCCCAGAGGCCCAGACTTGCTGCAGGAGCACAAGGTCAGGGTGCTAATGCCCGCCCCCCCAAAAATGGAGAGTTGCCCCAAATGGAGAGACCAGGCTGTACAGCAAGCGTCAGACGTGGCTGTCGTCCTCCCTCTCCCCATTTTGCTGGTGGAAGAAGAGATGACTTGTCAAGAGCGCAGGGAGAATGAAACCCTTTGTTTTATTGAGTAAAAGTATAACAATTATCTTTTTTTAAAAAAAACAGAGTCTCACTCTGTCACCCTGTCTGGAGTGCAGTGGTGCGATCTCGGCTCACTACAGCCTCGACCTCCTGGGCTCAAGCAATCCTCTCACCTCAACTCCCCAAGTAACTGAGACCACAGGTGTGCACCACCATGCCCAGCTATTTTTTTTTTTTACTTTTTTGTAGAGACTAGGTCTCGCCATGTTGCCCAGGCTGGTCTCAAACTCCCGGACTCAAGCGATCTTCCTGCCTCAGCCTCCCAGTGTGCTGGGATTACAGGGCTGAGCCACTGCCCCCGGCCAATAATTATCTTCTTAATACGAAGAGCACATGTGGACATCCCAGCTTTAGTCCCTGGTTCTCTGTCCACCCAATTACAGCAGCATCATGTGATGTTTTGTGCAGTTTGGCCAAAACACATCCATCTGCGATGCCCTGAGGGACACACGCTCCTTGATGGTCAACAGTCCAGGTTTGCGGGTTCTCCAGGTGCCGGCAGGGGTTCCAGGGCCGGCATCTGATGGCTGCAACCCAGACCCGCTGGGCACCTTGCAGGGTGTGTTTAGTTGTACCTGGAGGAGAGGATGTTCCCTCTTGGCACAACATGCAGAAGGCACCAGAGGAAAGGAACAGAGAAGAAGCCTGTTTGCCTCAGAGCTCCTCGTCCTGGACACCCTCACCAGAGAGTTCATGTCATGGTTTCCTGCATAAGTGATCTGAGCCCCGCCTCCTCAAGCATAACTGACAGCATGCTGGACGCACAGGCAGCAACTCCCTTTTGCCAAGTGACCACAGCGCCTCTTGGAGTCAGTTCCACGTGGAACAGTGCAGCTGGCACAAGCTCGTCCATGTTATTCACGTGCCCCACCATAGTGGGCCTGTTGACAGCATCCAGGCTGATTCGATTTTCGGCTGATACCGCAGCCCTGTATGTGGGTCTTGTACCACATGCAAAAGAATTCCTGTAGGAGACGTTCTTGCAAGCCAAATTGCTGGGCCAGAACATGTCTGTTTGCAGTTTGACGGTGACGTCCCCAGGGCCCATGGAGAACAGAGAGGGCCCTTCAGCGAGGTCCAGCTGGCTCCCAAGGGCAGCTCCAGGAGCCGGGTCAGGACAGAGTCCTTGCCACTGGCTCACACTGGTGGGAAGGTGCTGGCTGCTCTGGGACCACTGGGGTTCAAGATCGTGACTCAGTGCTGCTCCTTACTGCAGACCTAGTTATCCAGGCTTAGCCAAGGACTCTGAAATATTCTCATCTCTGCCAGGGGGTTCTTTCTAGGCTGGGGTTTTCACACCTCACTATGCAGTAGAGCCAGGACCTTGGTCCTGCTGGAGCAGAAGCTGCCGGGAGGCACGGGGAGGCATCGAACACGCCCAGGGCTACTCAGCATCCGCATCATGGACTTGCCCTCCCACACCAGCTCCTCTGGCCAGCTCCCTCCCTCTCCCAGCCCTTTCATCCTGCCAGTCCCAGGGGACAGTGGATTTCCAACATTAAAGGAGCTTCCAGGAGATGCAGAAAATTCTTTGTCTCCTCAACTTCCAGGGTCTACAGCTAACTAAAGCAGGGGGCTGGAGGGGAAAAACGATGGGTGGGACACAGATGGCACCTTGGACATGAGAGAGCCCCTGGGCCACCAAGACCCCAGAGCATTCTCTGACCCTGCTCCTAACTCATTAACTCCTCCCTCCCCTGCCTCCTTGGCCCAACCCTCCCCCACATCATTCACCTGCTCTTCTCCTACCTGGTCCTGTCTCCCACTGGTGCCTCCAGGCCAAACCTGGACCTTCCCAGCCAAGCGTCATTTAAAACATTCAAGGCCGGGTGCAGTGGTTCACACCTGTAGTCCCAGCACTTTGGAAGACTGAGGCGGGAGAATCACTTGAGCCCAGGAGTTCGAGACCAGCCTGGGCAACATGGCAAAACCTGGTCTCCACCAAAAAAAAAAAAAATTATACATATATATATACACACACACGTATGTGTTATATGTGTATTATACATATATGTACACACACATATGTATATGTTATATGTGTGTGTGTATGTGTATATATATACACGCACATATATATATTTTAAAAACTGGGCATGGTGGCACTCACCTGTAGTCCCAGCTATGTGGGAGGATGACTTGAGCCCAGGAGGTCGAGGGTGCAGTGAGCCATGATTGTGCCACTGCAGTCTAGCCTGGGTGACAGAGCAAGACTGTCTCAAAAACCAAAAATTTTTTAGATTAAAAACATTCGAGGTTAAAAAAGGTCATGTGCACACAGAAAATAATATGGCAGACAGGCAGATAGGCACCACCCACAATTAACAAATTACCTCATTTGGGTTCAAATATAAGCAAACTAGAAGCTCTCCGCCCGGCTGCCTGCCCTTGTTCCTGCGCGCCCGCCAAGAGGCCTGGGTCCCCCTGCGCCCGGGCATCTTCCTGGCCTGACAATGACAGCAAGGGTCTCACCGACGGTAATGAGACTTCAGCTCATTGCACCTGAGGATCCTGAGGACCTGGAGCCTCCGGCCCCTTTTCTTCCATCTCCCACCTGGGCTTTCTCTTCTCCCTACTCCATTCCATAAATGGACTATCCCATCTGAGTTGCCCTTTGAGTCTTCCTGAGCAGGCAAGGGCTCGAGGCTGTAGCTTCTGCGTGGTTAGAAACAGGACCATGGGAAGCCTTCGGGGCCCCTGGGCTCTTGCAGCTCACACAGCATCTTGGCCTCTACCACAAACATGGGGATTCTTGATCTGCAAAACACTTGCCTAAGTCATGGCCAAGCAGGGAAGAGAAAATAGGAAGTCAATCATTGCAATGGTCAGCATCAATGCTTCTGAAGTCTTTACTGTGTCCATGCCAAAAGTAATATCGTCATTACAACCCCAGGACAGGAATCTGCAACTAGACCTGCAGCTGTGGAACCGGAGCCTCCTATCTAATTTCCAGCAGATCCAGATACCTCAGAAGCACCCACTGGGGACCTCAAGAGGGAAATCAATGACCGGCCAGAGGAGCCATTCCCAGAA